GACTTTAGAAATCAATTTTTGCTCTTGTCCCTCTGTTCATTTGTAAAACGTGTAAAGGTTGTGATAAACACATGCTTCAGGGTGTGTTAATAGTTTAGAAAAGGTCAAAATGAATTTTCTGGCCAGGTGTTGGTTCTTTATCTGGGGGAGAAAGAAGCCCTGCTAAAAACAATAAATTATAGAAGCAAGAAAAATGGCCCCAGGGGCAGACACTGTGTCGTTAACAGAGGGGTTATATTTTATTGATTAGTTGTTAACTGTTGCACAGAGAACACGCTTAATAATGGATGAGCGATTAAGTGAAGATTATTCTCTTTCAGACATTGAACAGTTGTCTGTAATCTCTTAGAGTAAACGATGGCCTTTCTCCTGGTGTGGACGCTTAAGGCCAAGCCAAGTGACCGAATTAGCAGTGCCTCACCTTCTTTTATTTAAGCACGGAGAGACATCTGAATGCTGTGAAGCCGTTCTCACTAAGATAGAATTTCATTGTCATTTCTTTGTACATAGTTTTTCTCTTAGCCTAATAGGTAGATACTAGGATAAGTTAACACCATTGAGAAGAAATACTGGGCTCAGTGTAAATCCTGTGACCCAGTGGGGTAGTCAATATGTGTTTCATAATTATAAAGCCAAGTTATAGAAAATGAGGAAATGTGACATGGTCATAACTTATCCTTTATGAATGGTGCCAAATTAAATGCAATTCCCCTTTTATAGTAGGTCATTCCTTTTTTTATGAAGTCAGTTTAAATCATAAAGTAATAGCAAAACTTGAAAGTGTGCGTTGCGCTGTGCTGTTCCTCACGCTTGCCCTTGAGACCTTCCTTCATTTAGCACAGTTGGTGTTTTGTCACTCGCAGTCATGGTGGCTCTTGAGAAAGCCACACTTGCCGGAAACACTTCCAGCTCAGTCTCCGTTCACTGTTCTAACCCACATTTCAGCAGCTTCCCATGATGCTTCTAGAGATCGGAAATGGGCAAGGAGTGGATTTGGATTATCACAAGACCTGGAAATATTCTCTAGCTTTGCATTTATATGAAGCATGTATTCGGACGACTTCCCTTGGAATAATGTTTGTGGCACATTGGGAACGTGCTAATAGGTGGATATGGAGGAGATATTTTTGTGGAAACAATGGCTAAGCACATTCCACCTGTCCGTCCACTCTAACTTCCAGCTCTTTAACACACAGCACAGCGTCTCAGGCAAACTTGTGGGAAGAATGTCAGTGGCTGAAGAGAAAGTAACTTGCTACTCACAGAAAATCCCAAGCATGGGGTTTGGTAAACAAGTTCTTAGGGAAATGAAAGCAGTAAGAAACAACAAGTTTCAAAAGCTATCCAACTTTGTTTTTAGATTTAGGGCTGAGAGAGTGGTAACCCATAGCTCTTTCTCATAGAATTATCCTGATTTGCTTTGCCATGACCTACAAAAGCTGCTTTTTTTCTTTTGCTGACCTGCATATTTAAGGTATAGACTCAACTGTATTAAGAGAGGTGGTATAATCAAGTTAGCTAGAACCTTGAAATAATGTCGTGCTCCTAGAGCTAGGAGATCCAGTTTTATCTTATATCTCTTTCCCACTTGCTTCATTTCCTTAAGGCAATGAGAAGGCTTAGAGTGGAATAAACCATCGAAGCCTGGTAATTATAGAGTAACCTTAAGGTTCTCCTTGTTTTCAGCTCCGTGTATTGTAGCCATGACAAGCTGTTGTGATATAGAGTCAGATTAGACTGATATTTAATCACCACCATCCAAATGGAAGACATTTACCTGGGGATTTCAGTAAACCTGTTTTAATAGCACAATATCAGTAGATTTAATCATCACAAACACCTTTGGGAAGTAGCTGACATCCCCCACTTGAGGTCAAGCTCTGCTTTCTCTGGGTCATCAAGTTAGTAGTAACCTTGCACCATTTACTTAGCTGTGACCTGAAATTGGCATCAGGCTAGCAATTTTGCCTACAGTACATAATGTATTCTGCCTCGTCACCTTACGGGGTAATTGGATTCAAATTCTGTTCCACAAATGAAAGATCTGTGATTTGGAATAGTGATATAACTTCTTCAAGACCAGGGTTAGTGGAAGGAGTTTTAGAGCCCCATGTTCAAAATCTGGCACAGTTAAAATTTAGGCCTCTTGTCTGTGATTGTTTAACACCATAGCCAGTCCTGCCTGAAGTAACCAGTTGTTGCTCACATTGGACTACCTGGCCTCAAGTGAGCGTGTACATCTTCCTAGTCTGTAATTCCTGCTAGTATATAAAGACGGACCATGTGGAGCGTTGGCATTTGTTCTCTGGAAAATAAAGAGGGTTGGTTACCTTGTGTAAGAGGTATGCCAACACTGACCCGTGCCCCCTCCTGCAGGTGAAGTCTCTCTATCTCCTGGTTCTGTTTCGAGACCTCTCCATAAGCACTAAAAAGGAAAGGCTGGCTTAAAAGATTGAAAAATGGCGGACACGCCTTAAAAGTATCTATTTCTGACAGCCTGCATTCCACCATTCCAGAGGGTCAGTGAAACACTGATATGTAAGAAGGAAGAGCGAGGAAGTGAAAATCCAAACACGGGAAAGGGTGAAGCTGCGGGACTGCGTAGACTAGACTGCCCTGGCGATGCTTGGCTCCACCTGCAGTAGCTGAAACAGAGAGCGGCACTTTTCCCTGCGCCCTGCAGCCGAGCTGAAAGTGAAGACAGAGTGCAGTGTGTCTGCGCTTTTCCTTTTGACCTTTCCAGAATCCTAATTAAGGAGATTGCAGATGCCTTCTAAGTGGATCAGTCTGCAATTGGTTGCCAAAGTGTTTATACTCTGTCTGGATCTCAGTGGTGCCCAATGGCTCTTGTGGATCAGGAGCCCAGCTGTAATCGATCATTTTCTCATCAGTGAGCCTAAAGACATTTACTTCTAATCTCATTTATGGACTTTACCAAACTCTGCCAATATGTGTTTATAGAAGTGTGTGTGTGTGTGTGTGTGTGTGTGTGTGTGTGTGTGTGTGTGTATATATATATATATATATGCAGAGAAAGTAGAAGACTTCTTCATGTATTTTAGCTACGGCTCTTCTGGGATTTTTAGAGCCAGTGTGCTTTACTATTTTATCTTAGATGAACCCTGAAAATATAAAGAAATGTAATTGAGAGGGATTGATTCATTTCCAAAATTTGGGAGCAGTTCCTGAGAGTCCAGACTCTTATTTTAATGCCTACATTGTCTATAATTATTTCCCAGACTTAGAGTCTTGAACACGTTCCCCAGCTATTTAACCATGGTTAGAAGGCAGAGAAGTTTGGGACGCTGATGAAGTTGCGTTGACAAGTTAGCTGAGGAAGAGCAGCCTGCCAGACACTGACCTGTGATTTCACGGATGCTGACTCATTCGTGAGCACTGTCCCACCTTGAACTCTTGGCCCATAGATGCCATCTCTAGATCTTGATGAGTAGGGATGCGGGTAGAGAAGGAAGAGTGCAAGATTTAAGAAGGTCTGAACTCGGGCGATGCTTCTGATTGCAAACTTGGAACAGCCATGGTTTGTGCCAGAGTCTTGTCCAATACTTAGATCACATGGGAAAGTTTGCCTGTGATGTGTTCTAGGGTGATACACTTGTTTATTTGCTACCTATTTTTTTTTTACAACAGCGTCTAAATAGCCCAGACTGGCTTCGTGTTTGCTGCATAGCCCGTGGTGACTTTGGATTGGACTGCTGATTCTCTCCCTCAGATCTTTGCCCTCCCACCTGGTTCTTTAGCTAGTCTGAGGTTGAAACCCAGGGCCCCATGCTTGCTAGACAGACATTCTCACACCTGTGATAAATCTTTAGGGCCATCCCATGCTTTGAATACTCATCCCATGTTTTGGACAAATTGAATATTATAAGAAAATATACTGTATGGCTTTTTTTTAAGAACAAAATACTACTAAAAACCTAGTTTTGTTACTAATACTTTTGGTTTTTGAGGAATCGTGTCTTGTTGCTTGGTTCAAGCATCTTTTAGCCTACTTGACTCTCTTGTATTTGTAATGGAACAGAATGAGAAAGCACTGCACATGCCCATGTTGGGGAGGTTGTGGTAGGCTGTGCCTTCTGGTTAATATTCTTACAATGCCCAGACTTCAGTGGCCAGAATAGATTTTAATGTTGACCCAAACTAGGACCCAAGCCAAGCATTTCCTGTCCTTTTGTTTCTTTGTCTTGTCCATTTCCTTTAGCTCTATTTATGCTCATTTATTCCCTCTGGAGGAACACCCCTTCCCCAGCTTTAACCAATGAAATGTTTCCAAAATAAAGGTTGGTTTAATAAATAAATTTTTCAGAAGGATGCATCTTAAATCTACAAATGATGCCATATTATATGAAAATAAGTTTTAAAGTTTGAGTATATATTTCTCCTCACTATATCATTTGCTTAGCGTTTTTTCACACATTTTGCAGAGATAGACTTTATCACACACAGCTCGATTTTCTAAACACTACAAATCCTAATGCTTAACCAATAAAGCTCTGAAGTGTGAGGTTTTTACTGTAACCTGAAGCCAGTGTCAGAGTAAGAGTATGCAGGCATGTCTTTCATTAGACAAGTGTATACTGGATGTGCACTGGGAACAGAATTAGACATAGTAAAGATACCAGTGTAAGGGTCTAAACTTTTAGTAACTGCTCCCAACTTTTGGATGACATCAGTTCTTCTCAAGTAGATTTCTTTAGCTTTTCCTCCTCTAAGATAAACCAGTAAAACACTAGTGTGTGGTTGATGAAAAATAACAGAAATGAAATTTAATACCATCTCCTAAATGCCTGTCATGCGCATCTGCTTAAATCTTTTGTTATGTTTTAATGTACAAAGAATATGGTTACAATACATAAAATTTCGTGGTGCTTCTATGTTGCTTCAGAACTTTTTTATGCCCTGTCCTGTGTTTCAAAGGTCATTATGTATTTAGTTTGTTTCTATTTTATTTTTCATAGTCAAAAATTGTCCTTTTCTTACAGTTAACCTCTCAGTGTCCATCGATGCCACACCAGCCCCAGAGGACCTGCCCACAGTTTCTGCTACTGACATGGTAAGTGACTTTTAAACTGCCCACATAGTTTGTAGTTTATGCTTGGTGCTGTGTGATCTCCATTTAGCAATGTTGTTTATCATTGCCCGTAGAGAGAAAAGAAGGAAGCCTGTCATCACCACGGCTAGCTTTTCATTCTCTTTCAAAGATGTAAAATTGACATTCACTCATATAACATTATTTTTTAAACCTTTTTAAAGAATCTAATGCTAGATCCCATTTATTGTGATTTTGAAACATTTCTACAAGAGCAATGAGAATGCTGGAAAACAGGAACTGATGCCTGATTCTGGCCTGGCGAGGCATTTGTCTGGCTGCCCCAGTGGGCCTGCCCTGCCTTTACTAAGGGTGACGGTAGCAGGACGTTTCCCCCATTACTTAGAAAGTAATTACTTAGAGTGTCCATCACATGGTGTCCTTTCCCATGGCTTGTAACCAGGGACCTTTAAGGCACTGGAACTAAGTTTTAAAAACGAGCTGTTTTGCACGGAAGGTCACATGCTGGGAGAAAACTTTTATATTGGAGAAAATGGGGAAAGTGCTGTTTCAGGCTTCTGATTGTTCCTCCTATGCCAAATATGGAAGCCGACCAAAGAATATCAATCTCCCAGTCACAAAGACAGAACACATAATACCTTGTATTGAGAGGGTGCCCATCTCTCAGGAGACCGGAACACTTCTGCAGATATTGTGTTGTGAGTGCCCACAGCATCCCTTTCAGAGATGCTGTTTGTGTTCATCCTGGCAGTTCTCACAGAACCGTTTCTCTCTTGTTTTGTATTCTCTGCCTCTCTTGACTTCATTCCTTACCTCTAGATTTTTTTCTGACTTTTTTAAAACCTTCTCTCTTTCTTTCTTTATGTTTCATACTGTGATGTATATGTGTGAGTGTGTGTCTATGTATGTGTGTGCCATCTGTGTGTATATGAGTATGTGTGTGAATTTATGTATGAATGTATGTGTGTGTCTGTGTATGTGTAAGAATATGGCTACATGTTGAAAGTCACTATAGAAGGATTCAGATTTTAATTTCCTTGCCAGCCAACTCAGAAGAACTTGCCTAGAATAGAGGAGGAAATGCGTCCTTCTAGGTTTTAAAGAATTTTAATTAAAATTCTTTTTGTGCTTTTTTTAAAAAAGCCAATAAAAACCTAAGTTCATTTGAAATAAAGTTTTTCAACACATTTGCTTTCACATTGCTTCTTAGTCTCCCAAGTACCACAGGGGCCAACTCAGCAGCTGGCCAGCACTGACCAGAGTGCAGCCGCTCAGACAGCGTTACTGTCTTCAGATAGATATTCTGACCCCCACCCCCACCCCCAGCCTGAGTTCCCTCCGTAACTGTGATGTTAGTGGAGAAGACTTCGAAGCCATTACTTCTGAGAGGCACAAGTTCTCTGTGTGCTTCCGTGCGCTGGCTCTGCCTCCCCGACCTTCTCCTGGGACATATCGTCTTCAGGGACTGAGTTTCCTTCTTTCCCTTTGACCCACAGTTTAGTCATGAGAGAAGGGGCAGCAAGGGCACCATGCGGCCCCTCACCAGTGAAACTTCCTCCCCCAAGGCTCCAGGTGTTGGAGGATCCAGGCCTCTCCCTTTCGAGCTCATTAACGTGAAGACAAGCTGTCCTCCCGGGCAGTGGGCATGTTTCAGGGAAGAGGGGCATTCCATCCTCTAGACAGATGGGAACTGCTGAGGTTCGCTCCCCTAAGGATAAGGGCAGGGCTTCCTGTATTTTCATTTATTGCTGCCATCATTTTATACTCATCTCTGCCTCCTTTCCTGTTGATACCTCCCTGGCTCTTTCTCTTTACCGTGCAAACAAATTCTTTACACGGTCGCCAAAGAAGAGACTTTGAGAGGAGCTGCAGTTGGTGGTACCCTATATCTGAATGAAATAGGATCTGATGACTTCCGGCTTCTAGCTCCAGTGTCAGAATCTAACATCAGTATCTCGGAGAGAGAGATGACTGAATGAATTGCTTAGTGCTTGCTTCTTACACAAGATTCCTCTCTGGCCTTATTTTAAGTTTGTGTGAGGCGTCCCTTTAATCCACGGTTCTGGCGCGCTCCTTTTGATGAGTTTACAGTGGCATGCACATGTCATAGTCAAGACATAAGCCGTTTCCTGTTCCCAGGAAGCCCTATGGAATAGTTTTGTTGACTTCCCAGCTCTCTGAGAGAAGAAGGCTCGTCCTGGCCTTTGTAGGGCAGATGCCTAAGTTCTTTCAGCAGACAGTGAACAAGGCCCTTGCTGCTCAGGGGGTCTTTTACCATGAGGGACTTGCAACATTTCAGAGTTTAATTTATTTATTTAAATGGCTTTGCATCCTCATCTCTGGTAGATTTTAAACTCTCTGATTTTTACAAATTGCCTAGCTTGCCTTGCCTGTTTTTCTGGGAGCAATAATCCCAACTCTGAAATCAGAAAGAAACGTGGACAGGGGCTCAGCGGTTACCTACATTTGCCTGTTCTGCCTCATGTTTCCTACTTTTCGGGGAGGAGATAGCATGGAACTTTATTTTTTAAGAAAACCCTTGTAGTTTTAAGAATTGCTGTGAAATCCACTTAGTAATTCTCCTGTAAATGAGATGCAGAAAATTGATTGGACGTCTCTTTCCGGGAGATTGTTCTTTCTGGAAACCCCCTGCTGCGTGCTTCTCTTTGTATAAACCTTTCCCCTTGCTACCCCCTTACACAATGTCGTTTGGCCCATCTGACCACTTGTAACTAGCTCCTCCATGGTGAGCGCTCATATGTTCTTCCCACAGGGCTCAGTGTGTCTCCTTGTGAGCATCTCTGCTCGCGGTATCTAATTCTTCTCCTGTGTGTGCGCTGAAACGTAACGAAATGCGCATCACAGCCTGCCGCTCATTTTCTTTATGTGTTGGTTTCCCTCCCTGTTGTCTCTTAGCTTTGCTGGCCTGCTCTTCCCGCTACCTTTGAAGGAGGAAAGTGCTTCCAGACCTGACTCGCTCTCAGGGCTCAGTGCAGACTTTATTTTCTCTGTACTCCGTGTAATAGCTGACTTCCTCGTCTGGTCTCCCAGCCATGCGCATGCACACTTTTTATATTACTGAGTAATTTTCAAGCAAACATTTTATTTCTCTGAGGAAACTTGTAAACACTGTTGCTATTTCTTTAATCAGTTTTACTCCCTTAAAGCTTGTACTATTTCATCCATGTATTTGGATTCGGTGCACTCTCAATTTCCCTGTGGGAAATTTTTGTTTTTTTTATTTTCCACCGACTGTAGTTAATTCAAAATATCCTATAACTAAATGAAGTAGCATCGCCAGATTTAACAAACAAAATATGAAATATTCGATTACATTTGAATATCAGGTAAATATTAAATAATTTTAGTGTGATTATGTTCTGAATATTGCATAGGACATGCCTGCACTATAAACAGTCATTGTGAAGGCTGAGTGTTATGTGAACATCTTTTATTTTACCTGGTCATTTAAAGCCTAACGTTTACTTTAATTTTATCCTCTGCACAGAGGGCTGACAAATTGGCACAGTTCTTCTTTGAATTTGTCATATACTCCAGGTCCGGTGAAGGATTTTATTCACACAGTTAACAGGACCTCTCTGGTGCCTGCCATACCCTAAACCAAATCCGCTCTTTCCTTTCCTTTGTCCTATGGTAGGCACAGTCCCCTTGGTCCTTTGACGGTGTAAGTTATCATTTGTAGATTTGGCCCAGCACCAGACCAACGTTAATATCTGTGTCTGTCTCTTGTCCTTTTCTTTCGTTCTTGTGTTTCTCACTACCCCTTTTTCCTTTTCATCTCCACAAGTAGTTAAGTTTGGGTGGTTTGTATTGTCCGATGAACAACTTTTGTGTTTACTACCCTGAGAAACCCTTATTAAAAACCTTGCAATTCTCTTGTCTTCTGGAATATCCTTTGCTACCGTATTTTGTTTTTAACGTCGGTAGTTGCTCTTGCAGCTTCTCACTCCCACTCCTTCCTCAGCCCGGGGTGCTACTTTCCCCATCATCAAAATCCACCCTTAGCCTTGTCTGGTGTCTCACCGCCCTCGTGGGTACACTGGATGCTCAACACATTTTCACTCAGCGTATTTGTAGCTGTACTGAGTCATTATTCCCAGGTGAGATCTCTGCAGTTGATGGCCCCAACTCTGGCATCTCTCCTAGCCCGTTAGACATCTTTTCGAGGATTTCCAGATTCAGATCACTAACCATTGAGGATGGGCTGCCATGTAACTGCTATGCAAAATTCTGAGCATCTTAATAAAAGAGAGGTAATGTGAGAATTCTAACAGCTAGAGAGTCCTGAGATTATATCCCCTTTATCCTTTTCATAAGGACCAGAGAGTACTTTGCATAAGAAATAAAGATGAAAATTATAGATGTGAGAAACATCTATAAAGAGATAAAAGACAGTGGCAATGAGATGCTGAGTCTCCTGGATTAACCCGTAGCAGGCAATGGGGACTTGAACTCAGGTGGTAGCCATAGCTCTGGATATATTTCTTCATGATGTAGATTCTGTCTGAAGTCTTAAGGAATTAACCTTCGCTTCATGTCAGCTTTTATGAAATAATGGAAATAACACAAATCATTTTGGTGTGTTTTCTGTGGTCTCTAAGTTGAACTTGGTTGTCAGCTACACTTTAGGTTTTATGAAAGCCATAAATTTTATTTTGAAAAATTACCTATGTTAAGCTATATGCTAGTTGCCTGACATTTTTATATGTGAGACCTTAGTTGTAGATGGGGTTTGGAGGTTAGTTTTTTCAGATAACAATTAGATTCATTTGGAGAGCTGGAGAGATGGCTCAGAGGTTAAGAGCACTGCCTGCTCTTCCAAAGGTCCTGAGTTCAATTCCCAGCAACCACATGGTGGCTCACAACCATCTGTAATGGGGTCTAGTGCCCTCTTCTGGCCTGCAGGCATACACACAGACAGACTATTGTATACATAATAAATAAATAAATAAATAAATAAATAAATAAATAAATATAGATTCATTTGGAACTTTTACAATATTGGCATAGCCATTTTGAACTAACTGAGAGAATTTAAGCTACCTATCTCTGCATCTGTGTCTGTGCCATTTTTCACCTGAACCTTAATCTTTGTTAGGAAATGGATAAAAATTCCTGTTGGGGTTTTTTCAATGTCTCGTACATCCCTGGGGAAATTCCAACTATAGAGAAGGACTTTGCTGATGTTACATTGCTGATGCAAAATTAGGGCACAATTTTGCTGATTTTAAAGCAGAGAAATATGTTACCAATTATGACCTCTAAACGTTAGCTCTATTCTCCTGAAAGCATCCATATGCGTAAATCTAAAAAAATAAAACACACAAGACATGATTAATCACCTTGCAGAGTTCGATGAAAAGCAGTTATGCAGCTCAACTGTGTACAATTGGAGGGAACAGGACAATATTTCAAGTGAAGATCCAGAGTTGATATTTATTACCTTGGACAGGCATTTTGCCTTTTGAGCTCTATGGAAACCTCCTCCCTTTCAGGCCAGGCTGGACCAGTGGTGGTAAAAGATGTTGATTTATTGGAGGTGATGTAGAAGTTTTTCCTTTAAAGGACAGCAGAAATTTGCCATTCTGCACTTCTTTGCAAGGTATTTCTAAGGAACTCATTACCATATAATGTCCCCTTAGCCTGGAACCCAAGAAGATACAGAGAGTGAAGTAGTTAGACTTTTTCGCAGTCATTTCCACTAACAGTGTTGACATTCATTTAGGTGGAGAAGGTCTAGGAAAACAGCCATTGCTGCCCCAGTATGAACAAATGCTCTTTGTACAGCAAAAAAAAAAAAAAAAAAAAAAAAAAAAACGGTATCCTTAAAGGGTAATTGTTGAATAAGGCTCAAATACAAGAAATAACTTCACAGAAATGCTTTTACATAGGGAATGAGCCTCCCAGTAACTTCATCACAGAAAACCATCAAGCAGAGGAGGAACATTCACCCCTGCACTGTTGAATACTAAGGGTGAGAAACCTGCTCAAATCACTAGGGGTTTCCATCAGACTCTTCCATTCTAGGAAAAGTCCCTGGGACTTCGAGGCCCTTAACTTGTAGTTGTCCTGTAAGTAAAGTAAGCCGACTGTTGTAGAAGTAGATCCTAATGCAGGAATTTCAGTATTTTGTCACTAGTTGAGAGGGTGCCTCAAAATCGAGTAAGAAAAACATTTCAGGACTGGAAAATCGTGAATAAGGATGTGTCTCAGCTGAGTTTAGCCCCCCCACCCCCCACCCCGTGAGGGCTTTCTGGAATACAATTCGTTCTAGAGTTCCCTCTCTTTGAGCAGAAAGCAGGTAGCCAGAAGCAGTCAACTGTGGTTGGGTAAGCGCCGAGGTGGGTGCACAGGTCTGCCCATGGCATCAACAAGAAGATTCCCCTATGCATTAAATACAGAAAATAGGGGGAGTAGCCAGAAAGGAGCACACTATGGACAGCAGGACAACAACACATATTGACCCGTGTGCTTGAAATCCCAGGAACACAGAGCTAGAGATCTCTCACACAACTGAAGGGGTGCGAAGGCATCACAGCCATTCTGCTCATGGGTGTCCCAAGTGCTGACCCATAGTCAACAGAAAAAACGCCATACTGCATTAGGATTTCCACAGAGAAGTCTGGGACTAGCCACTTTGATAGTATCATTTTTTTTTCAGTCTCGAAGGTGTACTTATAAGATAAATAACCTGTGTTTGGGTTAGTTACTATCCTTTGACATTTAGAGCATCGATCATACCATAAGGTCGGTGAGTATGGACCCAAGCACACACAAGTAAGTACTTTGTGAACAATAAAGGTGTTCTGAAGTCTCCCGTTTTGGGATTTAGGATATTCATGTATCTCATTTGACCCACAGGAAGGCTGGTAGGAAAGAGGGACTTTGTGGTTTGTTTCTGTTGAACAAATGGCGGATTGTAAGGTGGAGGAGTAAACTGCCTACCTGTGTCTCTCGCGGTGTCCTTCGTAATTGCTGCCCTCTAGCATGGCCACGTCAGGTGACTGCCGTCTCCAGCAGTTATCTTTGGATTGTTTTGTGGGCGGTTCTAGTGTAGTCCATCTAGGGCCCATCAAGTATGAAAAGCTGCTTTAGATGTTTCAATTTTTTTTCTAAAAAAAGAAACAAAAAAACAAAAACAATCCCTGTTTTCTTTTCAGTACCATAATGCTACCTTTGACTGGGCCTATTTGTCAAAGAAGGAGTGTTTGAAGTATGGAGGAAAACTCGTGGGAAACAACTGTGATTTTGTTCCCGATATCACCCTCATGTCCTTCATCCTCTTCCTGGGCACTTACACCTCTTCGATGGCTATGAAAAAATTCAAAACTAGTCGTTACTTTCCAACAACGGTAAGTCCCTGAAATTTAAATAATCTTCACCGGATTTGGCCTGTCTTGCCACGAATGCACTTTTATATAGCGAAAAAGGTACCTGCAGTTCACCTTGTCCAATATTGCTTTGTACATTTAAATGATGCATTCTTGTCTTTGTCCACGTGAATGCACATTTAACATAGTTGTAGTCCTGCTTCAAGAAACCTTCCCAAGATTTGCTTTCATAATTCCATTGTGAGTTCTGGCTGTAGTGCTTGTTAGTGTGGTGGATTGGAGCAATTTGACATGCTCCCTCTCCGTGCATATGACTGAGGAAAGGGACACTTTAAACCCACAGTGTTTAAATACATAATCAAAACCTTTTTCATATCAATCGGGAATTTTAGTGGTGTAGAATTTCTCAATCATTGACTATACGTGTATTGAAATTCATAGAAGTTCTCAAACATTGACTAGACATTAATACTTGAATGTAATCTTTGGGTCTAAACCACAACAATGTTGTGCACTAGGAGTGGTATGGCTATTTGAGCGAAATTTTCCTTCCCATAATACTCTATAGTACCTAGAATATATTTGGTTCGCATACACTTCCTCTGCCCTGCTAATGTGTTGACGTAAACTTAAATTCAAAGCTACAGTTCTTTGAGAGACTAGACCAAAATTTTTCAAAGCTAGGAAATGATGTTTCCAAGCTACTGTTTTGCTTTTATAGTTCAGTTCGTAGTGTTTAAGAGGTCAAGATTTCCAGGAAATCTGCATTAAGCATGATCTATATCAGTGGCCTGTTCCCTCATGAAACTGCTTCCTCGTGGTTTTTCCAGAACTTCAGTAGACAGAAACTTCTTTCTAATTCCTAGAAAATGAGATTTAATATATTCACCTTCACCTTGGAAGCTGTGGACCTTCTCACTTCTTCTTACAAAATAGAGACTATAGTTGATGGTGAGGTGTCTAAAAGTAGATGCCCAAGTAATAGAAATGTTCCAGAAAGAGAAATGGGGAAAGGGTTTAATTCAATCTGTTTAAAATAGACTTTGTTTACTGGAGTTTAGCAGGCTCAGAGCCGTTCTTGGTTTAGTACACAGTGTGATAACAGATCTGCACACACACACACACCCCAAGTTTCCTAGAACCTGGCTCTGAAGGTGGTCCTCCTCTTTACCACTTTCTGCTGTTTCAGGCTTCCTGGTTTCACTTGTGCAGGTTAGGGCCATTTCTGAGTGCATTTGACCTTGAGGTCACAGCACATACCCAGGATGTACTGAACCCCATTGCTTCTGCAGCGGATGAGTTTTATATAGAATTGATTCCTGCATAGAAGGTTTAAGAACAATTTTTTCTGGATTGTGGTTTTTGCTTTGTTGTTACCAGTTCATGGGATCTTGGGCTTTGTTTGTTTTTATTGCATTTTTTACAGATCATTACTTCTTGTCAAAGTCTAATGTGTTTTGAGCACAGCCAGTAGAACTGTGGAAAATTTGCAAAGCTCTTATATGTTGCAATTTGTAAAACAAACCTGTGCCGAACCTCAGATGGAAGCCAACTATCTTTTCTACTCTTTATTTTCATGGGCAAATAACAACTATGTGCATCTATGGAACACGACGTGATATATTAGTATATGTTTATGTTGTAGAATGATTCCATTAAGCTTCTTAATGTATCTGTAATTTCACATGGTTAAATCATTTCTGCAATGAAAACAAAATCTCCTCTTGGCAAATTTGAACTGTACAACATCATCCATGAGCTGTTATCACCATTTTATGTGTGATCTCAAAAGCCTACTCCTTCATTGTAACGAGACTTTGTGGGCTTTGACCAGCGTCTCCTCTTTCCCCTCGCTCCCTGCTGTCTTGGTCTGTGAGCCTCACTTTCTGAGTTTCCACACGGAAGTGAAATCAGGCAGTATTTGTCTTCTGTATCTGGCTTCTTTTACTCCAGTTTCCCCTGTTTTGCTTCAAATGGTAGAATTTGCTTTTTTAAAAAAAGCCAAATAGTATTCCAGTTACACGTATAATTATATAATAACATTGAAGATGAAAATTATATGCATATACTAGATTTCATTCCTTCATCTGCAGCTGATGTGTAGGATGATGCTACAGATTGGCTGTTGTGAACGGAGCTGTGATACAGGGAAGTACACACAGGCTGTGGGACACTCATTTTCTCTCATTATCAGTTGAATAAAGGGAGTGCTGGATCTTATGACCATTCTCTTAATTCATTAGGGGAACCATCTCCCATTATCTGTAACAGCTAAACTAAGTTACATTCCCAATCATAGGATGTAAGGGTTCCCTTTCCTCCAAATCTGTGTCAAACATGTTATCTCTTGTCTTCGTAATAATAGTGATCTTTGACATAGGTGAGTTCACACTCATTGTAGATTGAATTTGCATTTCTTGGACAATTCTATCATTTAGCCTTTTTCACATATCTCTTGGCCTATAAGTCCTTTAAGGTATGACTGTTAAGTGTGCTGTCCATTGTAAGTTGGCTGTATGTGTTTTATGCTTGAGTTCCATACAGATTCTCGGCATTACCCTCTTGGCAGGCGAATGGTTGGTGACTATGTTTACAGCCTTGGCACTTGCCTTGTTGCTCTGCTAATCGCTTCCCTTGCTGAGGAGAAGCATTTTAATTTGACACAGTCTGATTTGTCAGTAAAACCTTTTTCCTATGTTTTTTTTGTCCCCCGATGGAGTCAACTCTTGCAATAAAATTAAGTACTATGTTAGCTTTTCTCTTTGAGAATCTTTGTCACGTTCATCACTAGCATCTTTTGTTCTGTTTTCTTCTAAAGTCTTTATGGTTTCAGTCCATCCAGTTAAGGAATCAATTTTGAGTTGACTATTGAATTTGTGAGGTAATGGTCTGCTTTTCTTCTTCTGCATGTGAATATCCAGTTTTCCTACCACTGATTATTGAGGAGTTTTATTTTTGCTCCAATGTATACTCTTGGCATCTGTGTTGAAAATCAACTGACTGTTGATGAATGCTCTTATTTCAGGGATCTGAATCTGTTCCACTTGCCTATATGCTATTATATTACATTATAGAATTAATAGATATAGAGTAATATAATTTCCATATATAATAAATTATATGCACACATAACTCTATCTCTGTCCATCTGTCTGTCTGTCCATCATCCGTCTGTCCATCTGTCTATCTCTTTTTGCTTATTTGGAAGCCAAATATTGTGATGGCTAGAGCTGCATTCTTCTTTACTCAACATTACTTTGGCTATTTGAGATGCTATGCACGTCTATACAGATTTTAGAATTTTTTTATTTCTCTGAAAAATGCCATTGGAAATTTTATAGGCATTGTATTATATTTCTTTGAGTACTGTGGGCATTTAACATTATTTATTCTTCTAGTCCATGAATATGATCTCTTTTCATTTATTTGTGTCTTTATCACTTTTTTCATTATTTTTTTACTTTATAGTTTTAAAAGTATATATAATTCATCTTGGTTAATTTATGACTCAGCATTTTATTATTTTGTAGCTATTATAAATAGGATTATTTTCCCTTTATGATTTTAATTTTTTGAGAATTTCATACTTGGGTACATTGTATTTAAGTCATTTTATACCTTCCTCTTCCTTTCCAACTCATTCTGTATCTTTTCCCAACAATCCCCTCTTGAATGCATGACCTATTCTTTAATTATTGTTGTGTTTTGCATACATACATAACATACTGTCGCATATCCTACAGAACACAAATAGTCTTTCCTATATGTACACGTGTTTAGGACTGTCCATTTATGATGGATAACCTGTTGGGGAGCTCAGCTCTGCAGAAACTGAACCTCTCCATTTCAACAGCCATTGTCTAGCTCTAGACCTTTGTCTAAGGGTGAAACCTTGTGAACTTGATTTTGTTTTTGGAGAGTTTGTAATAGTGTATAGAAACGCAATTGGTCTTGTATGTTGATTTTTATATCTTTAATTTTACTAAATTTACTCAATTCCAATTTTTTATTTTATTTTGGTGGCATTTCTAGGGTTTTCTGTCAATAAAGGCACATTGTCTATATCTTAACTTCCTTTCGTATGTGGAGGCCTTTTGGTTCTGGTATGGACTAGAACTTACTCAGCCTGTAGTCTGGGAATACAAATGCTGGCCTGGTGCTGAGTGGGCCTAGAGGCCAAGACATCCTAGGGCCTGAGCTCATTGCCTCTGACTGGTCTTAGGGAGGCTCTGAGGATAGTCTGGTATGGGGTGGAAAAGAAATTATAGAACACTAGCTGCTGAGTTGACTAAGTTTGTGCAGTCCTCTGCACCCACCTAGAGGCTGAGGCAGTGGGAGCTCGTCTGGACTTCACACTGATTTCCTTGGGCATGTCTAGCATTTGTATCTGTGGGCTCACTCCCTAGCTTGTTTCTCAGCAGAGGGCTTCTGCTTCTAAGTTGCTTTGCCTGGCGTTGGAGAGGGGGTGATGTGTGTAGCATATGGTTTCCTTAGCCTCTTCTTTGTATCTTAACATACCTGTAGTCTTCACAGATGAGCTGTAGAACTGCTCACCTGGTTTCCTTAGGCCTGGCGACATTATTTCTAGGGTAGATAATTGGTCAGTCTGGTATTTCTAGGAGGAAGAGCATCAGACAGTCCTGTTCAACCATCTTGCTAACTTGCCTTACAGCCCACTAGCGATGATCTTAACTGTGCTTATAAACGTCACTTTTATCTTGAAATAAGTCTTCAAATTCAGACTTTGAAAGCTTCTACTACATAAGCCCAATTTTTAATAATAACTTATAACTTATAACAAATAACTAACGTTTTTTGCTCTTGATCAATGTCACCAAGAAAGTAGGAAATCTGAGGAACTAGAAAAGTGATGGCTTGGTAGCTGGGGTTTCTATTGAGATGGTTTTCAGCTGTTACATTGTCTTTGCTTACATGCCTCTTATACAACACAACCATACTGTGTACATACCCAGAAATGAATACTGACAGTGTTTGTCTCTTCACGTATTTACCTGTGCTTA